TTGAGAATTCAGTCTAAACTTCTACAGTTACAAAGTTCATTACCTAGTATGAGCTACAGAAAATATATTGCTCTCTCCGGGACCACTTTTGCAGCGAGCGATTTCCGTTCCTACCAATCACGCAACGTACAGCCATGATGAGAGATAAGTTCTACTACATGCCACGGGCTGTTAACAAGAAAAGGAACAGGTTTCGTGCCACACATTGTAAAATTCGTTTCTTTTCTGCATAGCATATTATAGACCATCCCACAACACATCCCACATTTTTTGGAAGAAGACAAATAGTTCACAGGATGTGAGAAATTTTCGCTGTCAGGATAGAGCACCTAGCGCAATAATGGTGTGAGTAATTTATTTATCTGACGACATACTGTGCTGTCCTAACTGTGAAACAGCTGTCATAAGTAATTTAGGCATAACGGAAAATCTCTTCAATGCCAAAATTAATTGCGTTTTACTCCTAGCTAACGTGGATGGAGAGAAAGTGGGGGGGCATTTTCTACGAACTCTTTACCATATTATTTGAACAGCTGTAGTGCTGAACGTACATCAGTTTGTCTAATAAAGCATCTATTTGTTAAAAGTATTATAAAGGTTGATAATCCTTATATTCTCGTAATAAGCGTAAGAAACATTAATAGACCGATTTTGTTTATTGAGCACACAGCTTCCTCTAAACCGGAGTTCGCACATATTATATTGTCCCGTTGTTCTAATTCCAAGAAGGGTGATTGTGTAATATTTCGAATACATGTTAATCGATAATCTCCATTTATTTATTTTCAGTTTCAATTTAATAGCGACGCTCTCTTGAATTAATTGTCAAATGCGAACAAGCTATTCGGTAAAAACTTCCATTCATAAATTGCTGTATTACGTGTATTTGTAGCCAGCACTGCTGATCGTTATCTTACTGTATACATCGAAACGAGGTAATTCGGAATGCACTGCTGTGAAGTTTTAAGCAAAACAATGTTTAGAAATGTCACTTCTTGTTAAAATTAAGTGTTTCACTAATGTTAATATATCCTGCAGATTTATTTATGTAGTGATAATCATATCGACTAATTAACGATACGTGGAGTGTTTTTGACTCTACGGCGATAACCGTCACGTAAATAAATCGACGCTGACCTTGCATTATGTATGTCGTAAATCTTCGCTCTGTAACGTTTTATGTTGCTCATTTTTGTTGTTTTCAATTGCTGATTATATTCGATAAACCATGAGGTTAACATTTCCCTGCAGAACGTTCGTACTATAAGAACCGCAATGTTATCGCTTATCTTTCTTGATTGACATTTTGCATTTGTTAAATCAAGTGTCTTTTGATTTTTGTATTTTATTGGACAGCATATACATGGTATTTATTATGTTTAAGATGTTTTCCTAATTTTTGTCTTATCTTTCGATTCTGTATCAGTCCTTAGGTGAATGACTTGAGAACCGTGCCAGTACACCTGATATTTTTTTAATCAGTCTTTCTTCAAAAGCCTTTTTTCAGTCACTGTCACTTTGTAGCACACTTTCGATCTAGTATTCTTGTTTCCTTACCGAGATACGCTGATCTTTAATCCGTTCCTTAAGTTTGTCTGCATGTTGTCTATATTCAATATGTTCCATATTGTTTCCTTTTGCCCGCTAGTTATTACGTATTTTGATGCATTGTTTGCCAGCGGTGTTACCGCTTTCTCTTATTGGTTTTTTTGTATGTTTCTGTTTTGTATTTTTAGACTGTATTTACGGATATATGTGAGGGAGGGGCTGGAAACAAATCTTTTCTCCACCGTTCGCATTTCTTTTAGAAAATGATATCTTTTTAAAAAATGTTTGTGTGCTGTAATATCTTTCCTACATCGTCTGGTCATTATTCCAGGAAAACATATTTTTAAATCTGCAATCATTAAGTTTCGCTAAATTAAACTTCTGTCTGGCAGAAGTATTGGGTATGGGGCACCCTGTATATTTTTGACTCGGCTGAGTCAAGCTGATAGCTACATTGCGGCATTAATAGCTTTAAAAACTGCTGCAGATATCGTGGCATCGGTGTGTCTTCTAATTCCATGATTAGCAGCAGAAAAGAGAAACGTCTTAGAACAAAGAAGAGAAACATTTTAGACACCATGCCCCCACCATAGCTCTATTTCAATTAGGAAACTGACTTGAAAACTTATAGTTGCCTATTAATAAAACGTTTTTTCTGCTTACCTTAGGATCAAAGAAATATAGAGATATATATATTAGTATAACAAGTCAACTTCAAACCCCGCTTAAGGTTTCTTAAAGTTGTTCCATTGAAGAAAGCTAAATAAAACCCCGAAATATTATATGGTCTGTTGAACTTATTTTAGATCAGTCTTAGAATGATCACTTCTTTCTGCTTAGGCGATGATTAAATTCCATCTGTACTGTTTTCATCTACATTCCTTATGACAAATAATGTGTAACTCCTTCAAGACCAGATTTTACGTCGCCACCGGTTAGTTCCTAGTTGCCTAGAGGGTCATTTAGGCAAAAAGGAAAGTTTGTAGCCGTTTGAAGTCTTCCTTTCACTTACATGATGAGGTCATTTCTAGCTCTTTTCTTTTCATAAAGTTAATGGTGGAGACGCTCATTTCCGTTTCCATGCTATCAGCCAGTAGTACCTCATTTTAAAGGCAGAATTTACAGCAGCTATGTGACCAGCATGGCCGTTATTCTATTTCTTTGCCACTCGCTTATCAACCTCGGAAAGAAGGGCTTATTACCTCCACGGAAGTTCAAACTTAGGACTTCTCGTTTCCGTGTCTGACGCTCTACCGAGGAACCCCGGTCTGAAGCAATGTGCTGTAAATTTTTTTCTCAAGGGAATTTGTGGCAAAACAGAGATTGTCTCGCTTCGGGAATCTAACTCGATACCTCGGTAGTTTGAACTTGAAGCACTGTCCCGGTACGCCACTTATAAGGGTAATTTAAGTAGGTCATGGCTCCATAGTATATTAGATGATATGAGCACCTTCTGTGTCAGATGCATATAACGTCATTTTTTTCTCTAGAGGCACCACCGCATTATTAATGATGTTTCTTTTCATTATGAGTACGTTCCTTACGTATATGTTTTTGTTAGCTTCTTTTGTACTTGCAGCTGACTAGCACTGGTTTCCTGTGGTTGCATGATGGTATCTAACTAAAACGTGCTTGTTATATAATCTGAATTTTGGATACGCGCTTTAGCATTGCCGTCATAATGTAAAGCAGAATTTTAGTTGCCCATGTGGCACTAGGGGTTCGGTTCCATGAAGAAACGGATTTCAGCAGATGCGTATATCGCCATCAAGTATATCAGTACACAGAGAATGTCCATTCTGCTGTTTTCGTCACTGTCATGGGACCAGTGAATCTCAAGCTTTTCATTTTTTTCCTGATCAATCGTCAATCGGCCAACCGTGTTTGGCGCAGATGATTCCTTTCTGGTCATGCTCTGTTGACGAATCAACTTCGAGGGCTAATACCATTTCTTTTTTGTCGTGTCGCTACATATAAGCGACTCTGCAACACTGATACGCGGGAACAGTTGACGCACCTCTGGTTTTTGTCAGCTCAACTTTTCCGTAAGTCAAAGTGTAGTCGCGCAAGAAGTGTAATCACACACGCCATACCCGTATAAAAGTCTCTAAGGTTCTGTTCGACAGAGGTTTCGCTGAACATGTGTTGTGTTGTTTTCATGCTAATTAACTTTGGCTCTCTTAGGGTTTCTGAATTTTTTAAAGTTTATTCTTGCTTTGGTCAGTGAGTTTTTTTTTAAAAAGCTTGTTTCTAGCGTGAGTTTCGTCTATAAAATGGTTTTAAAGTGGGATTGCAATTATTCAATGCTTCAGACTTTTAGCTTAGTAATGTTCAACCAGGAATTAACCGAAAATCGGTCTCCCCTGCTGAATATATCATCTGAAATCGAGTTCTTCGCCGGTTGTTCTTCGGACTGCGCGCCCATCCTCTTCCATCGACACCGAAGCTACGACAATCTACATGTTCGGACTTTGCTCAACGAGTCTCATGGTAAATGCAAGTTCGCTCGCATAGCTGCAGTGTTCGTTTATGCGGCGGTTCTGTTTTAGGAGTTTTGAAAAGAGCTGAGCAGCTTGCGAAAAATAATAAAGAAAACATTTTGGATTCTACAGTGTGAGCATTCTAGCCTTCTCCTGTTATCTATGTTAATTGAAACGACGCAAGTATTTCTTCGTGCACATTTAAGCGAACGATGAAATGACAATGGCAGATGTAGTCTTTCGTTGAAAGGGGTGAAGTCATACATTTATAACTTTACTTTTTGCAGTGTTTTAAGTTTTATTGACAAGTCCTTACTATTCAAACGGCAAAAAAGACGTTATACTTGACAGATTTCCAGACTTAATGACAAAAAATGTATTAGACCTGGAAATTTTAACAAATTACTATCTATGTCTTAAATGCTTTTACTCCGTTTGAAGCAACCGTGATATCCATTATACAGAGATTATGCTGCATGCCGCTCCAGAATTGTGACCAATAGGGGGACTTCAGGACTTCAGATCCGTCTATTGTAGTACAGAACCTTTTCTTAGTTGTCGATGTTCTTTATCTTTTTTTATTTTTACATTCCGGATTCGTTGCCTCACGCTTTAAGACATGGTCACGATCATTTAGAAGAAAAATTTTCAGTGGTTGACCATGGTGATGGTAAGGCTAGGTTGGTGATCAAAGAATCTCTGCTTAAATTCCTAATATTAACAGGCTGTACGATGATTTCATAGCTTCTGTTGATATTGCTGAACGTTGTTGTTTACTGTATTTGCTCAGTGAAGCGACGCAATCTGCGTATATACAGTAACATCCGTTGCTAGTTTTCTGTCGCGAAGAAGTCCGCTGTTGTGTGACCAAAACGTTGTCAACAGTTTGATCAAGCTTTCATATCATCTGGCGAAGAATCAAGATGAAATTTTGAAATCGTTTCTGTACTTCTATTTGTCATCTACCTCTTCTTCGTGATCATCATTGTCATCTGTAGTTTTCATCTTTGGTTTAAACGTTAGAATATACTGTACTGCTTATGATCTTCCGATTGTGTGCTATTTTCATGGAATGAACGATGGCTGATAATTGTGTACGGTGTCAGGTATCTCTCATCCACGACGTTTTTTGTCCTTCACTCACCTTTCTCTGTCGAAGTCAAGCCTTCTCATGCCATTTTTTCTAGCAGGCAGAAGTCAGATCTGCATTTGATTCAGTAATGATTCAGCGGTGTAGAATTTTAAAATGCTATATGATATGGCACATCATTTCCATTTTAGAAGAGTTGTATGCAAGAACTATTTCTGCTGTCGAAGTCGAACTGTTTTCTGAATGGCTGCCTATTCATTGTGGACTCTGCTAGGGCGATGTGTTTTCGTCTTTGCCATTCAACATTCTTATAGAAAACATTTTAAGTTATGGGGGATTCATCATGCGTGGCTGGTCTTCTAGGGAAACGTGGAGAGGAAGCCATAGAGGAAATCGATAAATTTAAGTGTCTCGGCTCAGTAATCTCCAACGAGGGCACCATTCAATCAGAATTAAATAGTAGGCTCACCTTTGCATCCAGTACATTTTGTAACCTGACAAATATTTTGGCTGAGAATAGGATAAACTTTCCAATAAAATTACATCTGTACCTTGCCTCGGTCAGGTCAGCGTTGTATGGTTTCCAGGTGGTATTTTAACGAAGGAGCAAAAACGACGGCTGAATGGTATTTAGCTATGTTAGCTTTGACTCATAATGAGGGCTTTGTTGTAGAACAGCGTAAGGAATTGCTACTTTCTCTTTCAGGCAGTTTAACCTCAGTAGACATGGAAATTGAAAAAGAACGGTTAACCCGGTTATACAAACTGTTTCAGCAGAAACTGTGTACTTCAGTCCGTGAGCTTCACGTGCAGGAACCGCAACACGGCAGACATTGGCCAGGCGTTCAACATGCAATGCAAAGTTAGATCTGCTTTCAAAGAGAGTCATATCTCCTTCTACTATGCATTAACCGGTGTCCTTGTAGCGAAAGTGTTGTAAGACTGCGCACACAGCGTACATCACAAACCAGAGACGTTCTGCTTATGCTAATGGCTGAAGGTAATGATCTCACTCACTCACTCTCTCTCTCACACACACATTCCAAGCAGCTGTCATTTCTTTCCAAAAAAGTACTTTCGGTTCTTCAATACTTTTCATTAGCAATGAGAAGTTATTTAAGATCTGTTCATCTGTTAATTAGATGTGCTGGTATCCAGGACAGATGACACTATTCGTCTTTACGTTGGGAGCACCAGTGGGAGTTCATTCTGCATGTGTAATGTTCTAACTCCCATTCATAGCTTGCAGTAGACCGCATTAGGTTTAATCATTAGATTTAGCTAGGATCAGTTTAGCTACGTTGAATTGATGCGTTTGTGCCATTCTCTAGTGAATGTTGTCAGTCAAAGTTGCTATTCATAGACACTGAGAAGTCTCCATGTTCGCAGTCACTGTTTTCATCTCAAATCGAATCAGGTGGCGTTCTGCATTTGGACATCTTATACAATTATTCGAGCTTGTATGTGGCGTCTAATCATTGCCGTCATTCTTGGTGCAGTTTCATTTAATGTAATAGTTTTTTATATAAAAAAATTCTCTATCAGTTGTTGCAATTTTGCTGAAACTATTCCAGTTATTACTACGTCTTCAACATTGATTTCCTTAAGATTCTGGAACGTCCGATGAAGCCTTCCAACGATTGTCGCGTAAATGCTTCAGCATGTAATCAGGTTGTGCAATCGCTGTAAAATCTGTTCTTTTGACGGAAAACAATTTGCTTTCTTGATTGTATTATTTTCTGAACTTGGAACGAAGGAATG